AAAGAGGAGGGGAGAGGGAAAGAGAGAGAAAGGGGGGCAGGGGGGAGAGAGATCCTTCTGGGGGGGGGGGGAAGGTTAGGGAAGGCAAACCCCCCCCTCGCAGTTGTGGGGTTCCCCGTCGGTTCCCCGCCTCACCAGCCGCCCAGCACCTTCCCAGGACGAGGACAAGGAGGGCCTGGCTGTCGGTCCCATTTTTAGCTTTCTCCTTTCCCGGGGCGGCGGCGGGGGGGGGGTTAGAGTTTGCTCTTTGTTCCTGTGCTAGTAATCCAGTCAGACATTAGGCAAACGAACTGGGTAATTAAAGAAAATGGCAGGTTACTTTCCGTGTGTACAGCTGCGAGCCTGAAGCTAACACCACAGCCAGTTGATGGTGTCCCCTTCTTTGCTGTGGGATTTAATTTGAACTAAATTTGGTCACTATGTTTAATTTTTGCAAGAAAAGGTGTAGGTTTCTTTACGTAGGAATTTTAGATGGGATGCCTTGTAAAGCAGAAAGGCATCAAATAAATAGTCCATGACAGCAAGCGGGATTCAATATCTTTTTGGTGTAATATTGACTTTTTTAAAGAATAGAATTGTAGCACAAGTGGTCAAAATGAAAAATCCCGGGGGGGCATGAATGTCTTTTATGGGGCCAATGAAAAAGAGAAAAGCGAGAGTAAACAAGCCACTGCAGTTGAGGCGGAGTGCTTCACGTGGCGTGCAGGTTCACATTGGAAGTGGAGAAGGAGCTTTGCACCCCACACCTCCTCTCCGCCAGCCGCCCTACTGACTCTAGTGGCGTATAAAAGGTCGGCCTGTGTCACCACAGCACCTTGCCCCCTCGAGGAGAGAGCCCAGCTGGCCCCCCAGGGTGGTGCGGGAGAACCGCCAACCCGCACCAGAGGCCACGAGGGCCTTGTCTGGTTAGGAGGGAAGTGTTCGGTGCTGATCTCGACTTGCACGCTCATGCCCTGGTGGGAGCATGCTCTGCACCTGGGGAGAGGTATTGCATGCCTGTGTGATCCTATAGATGAAACATTTCCCACACCTATTGAACAGTAAAAGAAAGAAGAGACGTGGGACTCTGTGTGTGTTGGTGGGGTAACGTCTGTCCTGTCTAAAGCTTCTTAGAGAGAGTGCAGAATAAAAATCAGTTCATTGTAGGCATGGGTCATGTGTCCGCCCTGATAGGTTTGGTTCCCGGTTGGCCAGACCTCCTGATCACGGTGGTTCGTGACAGGCCTTGTCAGGTGTTCCTGACATTTGTAAGGTTCTCCTCAGTCCAGAGCCACCAGGCAACAAAACCCACCAGGTAGCAAAGCTCACACCTCGTTCAAAAGCCACTTGATTTCGGGCCTGGAGCCCAACAAAACCCACCAGGTTTTGTTGGGCTCCAGGCCCGAAATCAAGTGGCTTTTGAACTAGGTGTGAGCTTTGTGACCTTTCATCCACCTTGGGGCTTGTATGTGCCCTGGCTGTGTAGCAGAGGTTCTGGCCGGGGAGAAGGGAAGCAGCCCCTTTCCACCTGCTGGCCCGTAGGCTCTCTGCGTTGGTCTCAGAGCCCAGACGGCCTCTCTTGGAAAGCCGGATCTGTCCCCCTCCACTCCCCCCACCCCTTGCTGGAGCTGAAGAGGAGATGCGTAGAATCACAGAGAAAGACGAGGGCGCCGGGCAGCCGTCCTCTCAGCTTCACTTTTGCCTTCTCTTTCCCTGCTCAGTTTGACAGCAGTTGTGCAGCAACGCTTCACGATATTCCTGGAATTTACCTTTGCTGGAGGATCAGGACCAGGCAGGTGAGTGAGCGCCTCAGGTGTTATAAAGCATTTCGGCACAGACCAGAGGAAATGGGTCAGGGCAACGGTCTTGCTTGGGATGCTTGGCGAGAGGGACCTTTCTCTCCAGGGACGAAAGAGCCTCCTTGGGAAGATTGTGGAAGGGTTGCAGGCAAAGGGAGCCCCCGGGGGTGGTGGTGGTGGAAGGGCCGCCCCCTCGGGAGCTGGCTTGCTCTACCGCAGAGCTGACAGTTTTGTGCTGCCTGGGG